ATGATTGATTTAAAGAAAAAAAAAAAAATCTCCTGAGGGTAACCACTCTTAAGAATTGACAAACCAGAGCAGAGCTAAGGGAGGAAACAAAACCAGTCAACAGAAACTTGACCAAGAGGGTAAAAGTGAGGAAGGGAGAAAGTGAAAGTCTGTGGCACGTAGAGGGGTCACATGGAATGGAATTCATAACACACCTGATTTGGCGAATTGGCTGAGTTCTCTTATTAGAGAAGAGGGAAAGTCTTCCAAGTTGTCAATGAAGAGTAGACATGACACACTGACACCAATAACCAAAGAGGATGAGTTGTGGGATGACATCAAGAACACCATCCATGAAGAAAGCAAAAGGTCATTAAAAAGACAGGAAAGAAAAGACCAAAGTGGACGTCAGAAGAGACTCTGAGACTTGCTTTTGAATGGAGAGTAGCTAAAGCGAATGAAAGAAATGAAGAGCTGAACGGAAGATTTCAGAGGGTGACTTGGGAAGACAAAGACCTCAAGTTAGAAAAGCAAAAGGTAAGAACATACTCTGCATTTCTGAAGCAGAAAGAACTGAAGAAAAACTTTGAGCCTTAAGTTGCAATATTGAAGGATTCTATGGGCAAAATATTTAATGATGCAGAAAGCATCAAAAGAAGACAGAAGGAATACAGTGTCACTGTACCAAAAGGAACTGGTCAGTGTTCAGCCATTTCAGGAAGTAATAGGATTCAGAAGTAATGGTATTGAAGGAAGTCCAAGCTACACTGAAGGAATTGAGGGAATACCCATTGAGATGCTTCAACAAACAGATGCAGTGCTGGAGACGCTCACTTGAGATTTATGCCAAGAAATTTGGCAGACAGCTATCTGGCCATCTGACTAGAAGAGATCCATATTCAGGCCCATTCCCAAGAAAGGTGATCCACCAGAAATGTGGAAATTACCACACAAGTGAAATTTTGTTGAAGGTAATTCAAAGACAGTGCAGCAGTGTACTGACAGGAAACTGTTAGAAATTGAAGCTACATTCAGAAGAGGACATAGAACAAGGGATATATATCAGTGCTGATGTCAGATGGGTCTTGGCTGAAAGCAGGAATACCAGAGAGATGTTTATCTGTGTTTTCTTGACTATACAAAGGTCTTCGACTGTGGATTACAGATGAAGGGTAACATTACAAAGAATGGGAATTGCAGAAATTGAATTACGCTGGTGATGAACCAGTGCATAGACAAGAAGGCAGTCGTTCAAACAGAAAAAGGGAGGCTGCATGGTTTGAAATCAGGAAGGGAGTGTGTCAGGGTTGTATGCTTTCACCATCCTTATCCAATCTGTAAGCTGATGGGATAGTCTGAGAAGTTGAAGCGGCCAGCTCAAATGCAGCTAGTGGTGTCTCCTCATCCGGAGCAAAGAGTGAGGAACAATCAAATGTAAACAATTAGTCTGAGGGACTGATGGACTATTGGAACCTCAGCCTACATGACCCTAAGGCCAGAAGAACTAGATGGTGCCCAGCTTCCAAAGCCAACCACTTGGAAAGGGACCAAAATTGGAGATGCTGGATAGAGTGGAGAAAAAAGGTAGAAAAAAAACTCAAAAACATAAAAAATACCAGTATTACTGGTCAGAAAGAAACTGATGAAACCCCTGACTATAGCCCCAAGTCACTCTTAAGGCCTGGAACTGGGCTCACACCTGTGTCTTAACTCTCAGCCAAACGAAAGACAGGCCTATGATCTGAACACTTCTACCACCAGGGAGATGCACTCCTTAGAACAGTGAGTCGTGGGAGATCAGAAGGACAGCATTCGCACAGGAGAAAGCCAGGCAGAGAGAAATGCACAGGGAAGGGGTAACCACAGGGAGGAAAGCGGTTCCATTGTGGGGATTGTTTTCTGGGTTGTGCAACAAAATGCATACAACTGTTGAATGTCATTCCCCACACTCAGGCCCTGATCTAATAATAACCCACATTTATTGAAGGACAACCTGCTTGCTATCAATCAACATGTAAGAATGAAAGAACCAGTTAGAAATCCTGAAAATACAATTTGAAAATTTAAGTCTAGCAAATGGGAATTTCTAGGAGGAATAATGAACTAGTAAATTCAAAGACTGTGCTGGGGCATTTGCCGTGAAGGTATTCCTTGCCCTCTACCCTCTTCAGGACTGTTGAGGTGTCTGGTATGACAAGGTAAGATATGAAAAGTGAAAGTTAAAAAAAAAAAAAAAAAAGGATAGAATGAGAATCTGCAACACAAAATACCTGAAAGCCTTGGTGGCTGAAAACTTATGTAGCACGAGACACACGAGTCCTCGCACTGTCAACACGGCAGTATGAGTAAGCACAAACCCCTGCCTGGAGGGTTCGCTGTGAGTTGGGTCTGACGCAATGGCCCATGACAACAAGACGAGCTGAGTGAATCGGCAGAAGAGCAGGATCAAGAGGAAATGAGAGGGGACAGTCTTTAATTTGTCGATTCTCTGTAGGTGATCTAGGGGAAATAGTTTTGAGATGTTTAAGACAAAGTAAGTTTTTTGGGGAAAAAAAACAAAAAGTCTAGAAACTTAATACCATAATAAGCTGTCACTGGAGAGTGAAGTCAAAATGGTCTTTCCCGACAGGCAAACAGAAGTAATTCAGTACCACTGGCCTTTGCTTAAAGAACTACTGAAGCTGGAGGTGAAGCAAGGGGGGTCGTCAGGGGAGCAACGGGGAGCCAAGCCCTCAGTAATATTATTAGAAGGTGGAACAACAATTTTTAGGTGAAAACAGACTCAAAAGAAAGCCAGGAAATGATTATCACGAAAATCTTGGGGGCATGGAGGAGGGAGCTTTGGCTGGAGCCCAACATCAGGAGCCCTTCAATCAGTTGAAATACAACTGTATGTCTTTTCATTCAACTATACATGTTTTGTGTACCTTTCTGAATGTGTATTACATACATATGGCATAACAAGGACTAAATTATAATACGTAGCCTATAAAACGTACTAGAATTTGGAAAAGGAGAAAAAGGACTGTGATTATAGATGCGTTTGAGGAAGAGGTGTATTTTGAACTTGAACCTGACACCAAATGGCCGTTACATAAATGAAAGCCCTCTTCTTCTAAATCAGGAGAAGGTAAAAAGCCCGCCCTTCCAGTACAGTTTCAAACTTCCATGAGGCTTCGTTTTGTTTCGCTTTATTCCTCTCAGGAAGTAAAGCTGCCGTCACTGAGGAAGGGCATGAATTAAGTCCACTCAACACTGATTCTCCCAGCGCCTCAGTTGACACACTAATTAGTCCCCCAGGACTGTCCGTTTTACCTCCACCTTTTGTGCAGAGACAATCACCTTTCTCCTCCCCTTCACCTTTGCAAAGGGCTGCAATGACTTTGAGCAGCAGCACCGCCCCCCCCCCCCAAGTCACAGCTGCACCTGTGGTCCTCCGGGCGGGCTGCCCTTGATGTTTGGTAGGACATTAACTAAGGAAAACGATTTGTAGAGTAAGGTATGAGTTGCGTCCATTTTGGAGAAAATAAAAACAATAAACGCAGCCCATTCGTGTGTGTTGACGGTGTGTTTGCAGCACCAGCCCCTCCTCCTTGGATTGTTCCTGCTCACTGACATCCAAGAAACTGTACCTCACACCCGAGCCACAGCGATCTTTAAAAACCTGAGTGAGGTAGGAGGTCCTCCTCCCCCACTGAAGACCTCACCCCTTACCCTGAAGGGTTTGTCCCACGGTATAGTGGAAGGAGCGTTAGGCACACTGCGAACTTTAGGGGGTACAGCTGGGCCCAGGGGATCCCCCAGGGCCTCTGTTTTCCCCTCTTTGGACTTCAGTTCTCGGGCTGACTCCCTACATGATAGCAAACAGACTCCTAGCAGCTCCAAACACTTGTCACTCCTTCAGCGGATCCCCAAGACAAAACCATCTTTTCACTGAGAGCGTCAACAAAGCCCAGGGATGACTGCACTTGGCCCAGGTGGAGGATGAGATGCTGTCACTAGCCAGGACAGAGCCATGTCCTCATCCCCAAAGGTACTATGCTGAGTTTCTTCTTTCCTTTCTGGTAACAGCCCTAGGGACATGTATTTCACACACCACACGGTTCACTCACGTAAAGTGTACAATTCAGTGTTTTTTTCCTGCATCCATCACCACAGTCAATCTTCAAACATCTTCATCACTTCAGAAAGAAACCCCATAACCCATTAGCTTACTGTGGCCACACCGTTAGGAAAGACTGATGACTGAAAAAGGGCATCCATGTTGGATAAAGTAGAGGGTCAGCAAGAATGAGGGACACTCCCTGAGACAGACTGACACCAGTCACGACAACAGACTACACCGTGTCAGTGAACGTGAGGACGATGTAGGACCAGGCACCGTGTCGGTCGGTTACACCGAAGGTGTCCGTGTCTCAGCGCTACCTCTACAACTAATGATACCACCACCACCCATTAGCAGTTACTCCTCACCCCATTCTCACCACTCACTGGCCCCTAGGCAACCACCCATCTACTTTGTGTAGATTTGCCTTTAAATACGACAATGATCCTTCATGTCTAGCCTCTCTCGCTTAGTGTAATGCTCTCAAGGTTCCCCCACACTGTGTCCATCACCTAGGCTTGAAGTCCTCCCGATTGACCTGGCTCCCGTCTACCGTTGTCCTAGTGTGCTGCTGTCTTCTTCGCCTGCTGCGTGGCACTGACTGTGTCGCTGCTTAGAGCCTTGGCATCAGAGCCAGAAGCTGAATGTGGTCCAGCGAAAATCTGATCTGATTAGGAAGCAGGGTCAGCGGGCGTGCATTTGTTAGTTCCATGTTTCATCATCATGCAACATTACGAAAGCCAAGTATTTAGTCAGTGACATGCTTCAGGAGACTCAGTTTACCTTTGGTGAGCATGGCCCTGGGTTTTCCAGGACAGTCCCAGTTGCAGGACATCTGGCCCTGCTCCCTTGGGGCACACTTGGGACACGGTTTAGAGGACGTGCTCAGCACACTGTTCTCCCCTCACCCCTCCAGGAGAGTGAAGAGGAGCTGTACTCGTCCTGTCGCCAGCTGCGGAGGCGGCAGGAAGAACTGAACAACCAGCTCTTTCTGTACGACACACACCAGAACCTGCGCAACGCCAACCGGGACGCCCTGGTCAGGGAGTTCAATGTCACTGAGAACCAGCTACAGCTGTACCAGGAGAAGTGCAACCGGAGGTGGGCCTGCTCCTCCCGCCCCTGCTAATGCTCCGGGTCATGGTGACGTTGGCACCTGAGGCCGGGCTGCTGCAGAGCCCCCGAGGGGCTTTCTTTGGAACCTTCTCTATAACTTAGCTGACAGGAAGGCACATTTGCAAGGACCCTTGGTGGGGAGTGGGTAAGGTCTTGGCTGCTAACCAAAAGGCCAGCGGTTTACACCCAGCAGCCTCTCCATAGGAAAGATGAGGCAACCTGCTTCTGTAAAGATTTACAGCCTCGGAAGCCCCATGGGGCAGTTCTAACCCGTCCTACAGGGTCACTCTGAGTTGCAGTCAACTCGATGGCCTGGATTTATTAGCTCTTACTGAGCCCTGTTGAGTTCCCAAGAGTGTGCACGTGGCTCTACATGACAGCAGATCCCCCCCAGGTTGTGTCAGGCATGTGCTAGGCAGCCAGGGAGCCTAGTGTCCTGGGCATGCAGTGAAGACTGCCCCAGCGGACATGCAATAGCATTCTCCCGTGAGCAACACTGTGCTGCTGATACCCTCACGGAGTCTCACTCATGGTCCCTGGGTGGGGCCAAGTTATGTACTTGGCTGCTAACCAGAAGGGTGGCAGTCTGAATCCACCCAGAGGGGCCACCCAGAGGAAAGGCCTGGTAATCTGCTCTGCAAACTCGCAGCCATGGAAGCCCTGTGGAGCAGGCCTCTGCACACACGGGTCACCACTGCACACACTCAGGCACAGTCGACTCAAGGGCCAATGGTTTTAATCACTTCTGCCTGCCGGGGCCGTATCACCCCGTTTTACGAAGACTAGAATTAAGTTACCTAGACTTAGGTTAAATCTCTTGCCAGTCCCCACCCCGGGGGACTCTCAGCACTGTGCTGTCCGGCCCCGGGAACGCCCCTCAAAGGTGCGGATGAAGCAGTGCCACGGAGCTCGGTACGCAGCCTGTTTCTCCTCCCACTTGGTGACGCTGCCATGTGTTTTCTTTCAGGTTGAGAGAGAAGAGGGTCAGCAACAGCAAGTTTTACTCCTAGGAGCCAGGGTACGTGTGCGAGGGGTCGCACGTGTGTGCGCGTGTACTCGGACCGCTGCAAGATGGTAACTGGTGACGTCATCCTGTCTCCAAGCCTGCCCTCAATCTGACATTTGCAAAGAAGACCCAGCCAGATGGCAGGCATTGGGATGACTTCCTGCTGACTTTGTCATCTCGGACAACTCTCTTAACTTATACTCTCCATAGGGGCCCTCCGGAGGGTCCCTAAAACGGCTCTTTGTGTGGGGCCTCTCATGTTCCACACCTCATTGAATAAAAGTAGTGACAGTCTCAGTAAGTTAACTGTTCTGTGCCCGGCCTATATGCTGAGCAAGATTCTGCTTCTAACGACCCAGGGGGTTAATTAAGTTCCAAGAAGAGGACCCTGCGATGTAAGGAACTAATCCTTAAATTCTGAGAAGGATTTTTACTGAAGGGCAGACGATGCCACAGTTAAGGCCATGGATTCCACGAAGAGGCGCCCTGCCCCAGGTCAGCAGGCTCACAGTACATGAGAGGTGCCGGCAGATAGACCGGTCATTAGGACGGTTTCCAGACACCCTCGGCACAGCTTAATGGACAGGAGAAGCTGGTTTCCTGGCGGATTACTGGGAGGAGGGTGGAATCTTGGGCCCTCTTGTTTCCGGATGCCTGTCAGAGAGACCAGGTCCTCTGAAGACTCGGCCAGCTCATCCCTGGCCCCAGCCCTGCTCATCCCCTGGACTCCAGGCGTGTGACAGCCGAGAAGGTTTCCAGTCGGCTGCCCCCTACAAAGAGGGAGATGCCGATTAGCCTTCACGGGGGATTTCTCTGGGTCACTGAGGTTTCAGGGCACAGAGCTGAGCCTTCAGGGTTCAAGCGTCAGGGAGCCCCGGAACATCTCAGAAGCAGACCTCCCCAAAGGGGCAAACCTCCAGTTGGCTCTCTAGCTTGGGATACAGGCGTCCCCCACATTTTGGAAGTCTGCTTTACGCTTCACTTTTATGAAGGACCTATGTTAGTACCTCTTTTCACTAATTTGAATAAATATGAAGAGGATTTTCGCTTTTATGAAAAAGTGAAACCAGCATTCAGCATTTGCTTCACAACAAGCTGTTAAAAGAGGCAGTAGCACCGTAAGCAAGATTGCGCCACCAAGCTCCTCCCCGGGGAACTGCAGTCAGCAAGCAGCCAGCACAGCTTTGGACTCCTCACACTGTACGTTACTGTCATGTTAGGGTTTATGTGTTAGTTGCTATGGTTTGGTCGGTTACTTTTGGGGGTCTGGGGACACTCAGTTTCTCCCACAAGAATGGCAATTGCTTCTTCGCTTTACGCCATCTCAGCCTAAGAAAGATTACCTAGGAACGCTGTACTTGCGGATAGCGGGGACGCCTGCACAGCTTCAGGTGATCGGAGGCGGCTTGTTAAAGAAGGTAGTGCAGGGAGGGTTACAGCTTTTCACTGGCAGTGACTCAAGACGGGGTTGGGGAGGTTGACTGAGGGGAAACAGGATGGCCGTGCAGAGGCGCACACCAGCCGTGAGCCGGGGGGCTTCCCTTGGGTGGGGCCCACCCAGCCCGATGCTGCGCTTCGCTTGCTGCTCGCTGCAAAGATGGTGGCAAGCCAGGCTCCGGCTCATCAGCTGAGCAGAGACCAGTCCTCAGGCCACGGAGACTGATGGGCGTCCACGTGCCAGGGGCTGTGGGTGCAGTCTTTCTTCTTCTTAAATAAATCCATAAATCCATGGTTACCAGTCTCGTGGAATATACAGTAAAACCTGAGAAAGCTGGAACCTGTGCAAGGCAGAAACCTGTCAGAGAAGGAAACCTCAAATATTTTCCTCTAAAAAGCCAAAAACCTCACTGCTATCAAGGTGAGTCTGATTCAGTGACCCGACAGGACAGAGTAGCACTGGCCTATTGGGTTTCCAAAGCTGTAAAACTTCACAGAAGCAGACTGTCATCTTTCTCCTGCGGAGTGGCTGGTGGGTTTGAACCACTAGCCTTTTGGGTACCACCAGAGTGCCTTCCCTCCACTAAAAGGAGCAACAGAAAAGCCGTGAGACTGCACCCTGTCAAGGATGGAGAACCTCCGAGACCCAGAAACAAAGGCAGTTCCTCAAGTTGTGGCTCTCAGGTTTCGGGGGTCTCACTGTACGTAGCCGTCCACGTGCGCCTTTAAGAAATGAACTCCGCCTGCCTGAAAGCTTGAGTGTCGGCAGAAAGAGCGCGCCCAGAGTGGACTGGTAACCTGTGGCATGACTCGAGGGATGCCTGCAATCTGGAGCTGCTGTTCTGTTGGACAACGAACAACGGCGGGAACAATATTCCTGAGGACAGCCTGTGTCCAAAGCCACTTAGAAAGGGTGATTTAAAAACAAGAAAGGCACTGAGCCTAAAGCAGCAGGGCTGGAACTGCAGACGCCGTGGCCAGGCGGCATCTGTGGCCCAGTGACCACACGGCCCCACCAGGCCCTGCCCTGTCAGCTCGATCATGACGTCCACACAGAAGAGCTCAGGTACTGCCGTTTCTACCTCTGCTTTTGGCTCAGAGTGAGAGAAACCACCTGGTGACCCACCCCCATACAGATCACAGCCTCGGAAACCCTGTGGGGCAGTTCTCTGCCGTACAGGGTCACTATGGGTCCGATCAACCAGACGACGGGGTTTTTAATCCTCTCCCAAGGAGCTCTGGGGGTGCAACAGTGAAGCGGTCGGCTACGGACGGAAAGATCACTGGTTCTAACCCACCAGCTGCTCTGTGAGCGACATGGGGGTGTGTTTCTGTAGAGACCACAGCCTTGCAAACCTAAAGCAACTCTACTCTGTCTTATAGCGTCACTGTGAGTTGGAATCAACTCCATGGCAGTGGGTTCAGCTTAGAGGTGAGTTTAAGAAAAGGAAACCTTCCCACCACTCCATTTTAAAGCCACAGTGCTAATGCCTGGATCCCCTTCCTGCTTAAAACGGCCATTTTTGCTACTGTTTCCAAGAAGTTGGGAAACAGCAGGCCAGAAGGTGGAAGCTACGCATCCATGCAGCCACTCTCCGGGAAGAGCCACCCTGCTCAGCTGTGCAGAGAGAGGGCAGGGTGGGTGCAGTACAGCTGAGGGGAAGGACCCTGCACCTGAAACTGTCTCCTCCTAAGCACTGCAGTAGTAACTTGACCCAGCCTTAGATAGTACTTGCTTTGGTTCTTTTGTGTGCCCATAACAACGCATTAAGCTGTTCTTGATGGCAAGAGGCACTTGCCCTGTTCCCTCAGGGAAGGCACAGGTGATATTATTACTCCTCCCAGAGGCAGCCCACAGCCACACAATCTGAGCCTAACACATGTAGCTGAGATGTGTGCACCAGTTGGCTGTCACTACACCACAGTCAACTCAGGTCATCAGAATGGTGATAGGAACTTTGTGAAAGATGGCAGAAGCCCTGTTGGCCAAAGCCACGGCTGTGGGTGTGCTTCATGGTTTCTAGTCTCAGTTTTGCTATGTATTGTTAGGAATATCAGGGATATTGGAAAAGAGAGGAGGGAGGGTGGCAAAGTCATGTGAGTTGGGAAATGGAGGATGCGATACTTTCTCTCCTTGAGACTTGCGTATTCTGTCATGAAGAGTTGAGAGGGGTGTAAAAGGTCACATTTCCCAAAGGGGATCTCGTCATGTTTTTGCCAAGAAGTACCATCAGACAAGTGTACAACAGAACATACTTGAAGGCCTGCTGTTCTAATTAAGAAGTCAGCCAGGCAGCATGACCTTCTAATTTAAATACCTTGGGACCCACTTAGAAAATGTCAACTTAGCCATAGAAGGCAGTAGTCTTGAAGCTGGGCCAGCTTACCCCTGCGGGTGTGCTAGCACCATCCAAGGAGTTCACAGGCTACTGTAGTTTTAAGGGCTCAGCTTCCTGGCCCTCCTCTTCCTATCATACTCCTTCCTAAGACTCACCTACCTAAGAGAATGTCCTTTTCTTACTTTATCATAGAAAACCTACCCTTCCCCATCCCAGGTCTCACCATAGGGCATGACCCGGGGTGTAGCTCTGCATCAACCCAAAATACGAGCGTTCAGAAAGAGAAAGACGACCCTTGTGAGTCTCGTGATTCTGATTCTTTGCTTTCAACCAAGTGGATGGAGACTCAGGAGATTTGAGTTTTTTAATGTATCACAGGGAAGGAGCTGGAGGAATTCAGTGAGCCTGCTATCAGCAATATTCGTCCATTCTTATCGACATGTTCACGTCAATAAGGATTATCAACATTCCCACACACAGAAAACGACAACGGAGAAGAGCATCAATGCTGTACCTTGGCTCATTCTAACCATGATCATATTAATTGACAGATACAGAACTAATTGGAGGAGGAAATTCTGTTCATGTCATTAGGAAAAAAAATTTGCAATGAAATAAATAATGCATAATTTATTTATTAAAACATATGCTGCATTTTTTTTTATTGACCAAGCATGTACTAAAATGCAATCCAGAAAAAAGCGATTAAATATATTTAAAGCCTTGTGATCACAGGATAATATAACTTTACTGTGGATATAGAAGGCACTTGACTGCTAACCACCAGCCACTCCTCGGAAGGAAGATGGGGCAATCTACTTCTGTAGTGATACTGCCTCGGAAACCCAAGGAGGGGTCGCAATGAGTCGGGCCCAACTAGACGGCATATAACAACAACAACAACATGGATATAGAAGTCAGAGGATACAAAAGCAAAAATTTGTTAAGTCAGAATTTTAAGGAGGAAGCAGAATATAAATACTAACTCAGGGAGTAAAAGGAAAAACGCCATTTCCTACCGAAAATTCCCTCATTCGTGTGGTTTTGAAAGGATCACAGGGTCTATCAAATAGCTATCATGTCTGAAGCTATTTCTCAAAAGCAATTTATCAATTTTATTTAAAGATGTAATTCCTACAACATCCCAGAAGTTCTATGCTTTGCAACTATTTATGAAGGAAAATTTTAGATAGGGATTTAGAAATCTGCACAGGGACACAGAGATTTTCCAAAGTCAACAGACATATCTTTTAGCATCAAATTTTACG